CCGAGACGGTGCTCTGCCGGGAGGCCCTCGGCTCAGGCCAGGCGGCGTGGGATGCCTCCCTCCCCCCACGGCTGGAAACCAGGGCAGACGCGGTGGCTGCGGTGCGGAGCCGGACAGAAGTCAGTGGAGCAGGAGCAGGGAGGACACGGCTGTGAAGGTTGAAGTTAAGCACAGGGTCCGGTCTGGCACGAAGAACCGCGCCCCTGGGGAAGGGCCGGCCAGAGAGCCTGCAGCCGAGTGGGGCTTCGGGCCTCAGGGCGGACACATTAGTGAGGCCTTCTCTCACCTCCTTTAACATCGGGGTACTCATAGTAATTTGGGCTCACAGCTTTCCTTCTTGGAGGTCTAAAAGCTGTAAAATGAATTTTAGACAGGGAGCTATGGAGTAATAACCACATCCACCGTGAGCAGTTTGTCAAGCCATCCGCACTCAGTGGGTGCACATGTGAGGCCGCGTGCGTGGGCTTCCGCTGCGCACTGTTCTCCGCAGGCGCCGGCCAACCTGCCCGCCCTGCCCGCAGCCTCTGGCCCATCAGCAGTTCCATCAGCGCGTTTACTGAGCGTGTTCCCTGGGGCACTGCGCCCGCGCTCACTGCTCCCCCCACTCCTACAGCGCCCAGCGCATCCCCTCTTCACAGACGAGGAAACGGAAGGCGAGGCCGCTGTTCCATCGTCACCTGAGCAACAGTGCGGAGCATTCGAGTCTCATTTCAGGGCCGGTTCTGCCCCGGGAGTGGGAAGCAGCTCCTGGCTGGTCCCGGCTGCCGGATGGGCTGGGACAGGTCTGGCTCAGCGGGAAGGCGGTTGGCAGAGAAATTGCTGGGCAGTTGGGCGACTTCTGCAGAGCCTCGGGCCCATTTCCTGGGTCTTTGAAGTCCCCTTAACTGTTGTTTGGTTTTCTTTGTGAATCTTCAGCGCTTCTCCTCGTGTTTGTGCACAGAAAGCCCTGATCCTGCTCAGATATGAGCGGGGGCGCAGGGGAGAGCGTGGGATGAGTTGTGAGCATTGTTTGGAAAGATAGTAAATATTTTTAATTTCACAGACCAGACAGCCTGCTCTGTCCACTTACTCAACTCTGCCGGTGCAGGGGAAGCAGCCAGAGGCAATCCTTTCCATATAATAAAAGGCTAATATGCAAATAGACTGAATGATGAAAGAATCAGAACAACCAGTCGCTATGATGTGCACTGACCACCAGGGGGTGTGTGCAGAACATGGCGGGATGGCCGAGGCGGGATGGTGGAGCAGGCTAACAGGGGTGCCAGACCAAGGCAGGGCACCGGTACCTGTCATCGGGGTGAGCCTCTGGTGGTTACTGAAAATTCTTTGCTCCCGTGCGCCACAGTTCTGCCCGGTGCTTGCACCCGCAGCTGGCACCAGCCCCGCTCGCACCCACTGCTGGTGCCCGGCGCTGGTCCCAATCACTCGGCGCCATCAGCGGGTGCTAGCAGCGGCTGCCACCCCTGATCACCCCTGAGGGCTTCTCCACCTCCCCCTGCTCCTGAGGGGTGATCAGGGCAGCAGCTGCTGCTCACACCCGCTGACAGCACCGGCCCCACTCTCACCGCTGCTGGCTCCGGCCCCAGTTGCTCTGCTCCATCAGCGCATGGGGCTGCCAGCAGACGGAGAACCAGGGCTGTGATGGGAGGGGCCGGGAGGGGCCGGGAGGGATGGGCCGAGACCTGCCCCTGTGCCTACCGCAGCCTTATGGCCCACAGGTCCTTTCAAGGTCACAAATTCATGCACTGGGCCCCTAGTGTGTAAATAAAGGGGCATGGTGGCGCCAATAACATTTACTTAGGAGCCTGGAGGGTGGAATCCACTAACTTCCACATGTCACAAAATACCACTCTTTTGTTTTCCCCCACCATTTAGAAGTAGAAAAACCATTCTTTGCTTGGAGGCACAAAACAAGTGGCCAATAGCTGGCCACACCTGGAACACAGGAGAGGGACGGGGCCTTAGTCAATGAGGCCGGGCGGCAGGGTGCCCTGTCCTGGCCTGTCTGCGCAGTCACAGGGCACGACCACATTCTCCTCTAGAAGCGCGCTGGATGGGGGGGAGGGCGGGAAGCAGGAGACAGCGCCCCCTCCTTCCATTAACCATGCCCCAGTTTCCCCCCCAGAAAGCGGTGGGGGTATGAGGGGTGGGAATGGAGCACCCGGCGAGCAGAGGCCAGAAGGGAATGGGGGGGGTCCCCTTGGGGAGGGAGGCGAGATGTCAAGATGGAAGTCACGGAGCAGCGACTGATGGAAGTGGGACCGGGGAAAGCCAGGCCGGGCGGCGGGCAGCAGACGTGGCATGTGACCTGCTCAGCCGATGTTGTGAGCACCCACTCTGTGAGGACACAGCACACAGCCCAGTCCCCTTCCTCAGAGCTTCCCTTTCTGCGGAGGAGGAGACACAATGAGCAGATGCTGAAAGAAGGATGAATGTGGGGAAGAGAACGGCGAGTGGTCACGGGTGAGGGTGCCTTCAGTGCAGGACGGGGGAGGGGCGGCCTCTCGGAGCAGGTGGGGTGGTGACAGACCCCAGGGAGGGCTGGGAGGAGCTGTCCGGCAGAGGAGGGGGGGTTTCAGATTATCTAGGGCAGTGGTCGGCAAACTGCGGCTCGCAAGCCACATGCGGCTCTTTGGCCCCTTGAGTGTGGCTCTTCCACAAAATACCGAGTGCGGCCGCGCACGCACAGAGGAATAATCACTTTGTAGCTGCACCCCCGCAGTCGGTATTTTGTGGGAAGAGCCACACTCAAGGGGC